CTCCCTGGGACAGTGAGGGTGACAGGATCCTGGCAGTGTTCCTGGGGGAGGGACTAACAGTGTCCTTCCTTCATCACCAGGCTGAGCAGGAGGATTTACAGCTTTGACATTTTAGATCAGTTCTTTAGAATGTAGAAAAACAATAGCTGCTTAAGAGTCCAAACTTCAGTTCAAGCTGCTCTGCAGCCCCTGAATGCAGTGGCAACTGTCCCAAACCCATGCTAGCCAGGTGTCTGTAGGGTGGCCACCATCCCACGGCCAGCCTCAGCTCTCAGAAGACACCAAGGCCTTAAACTACAGAGGAAAGGAGTGCCCACAGCATGCTGCAGAGATGCCACAGGAGCAAAGAGTGCTGCACCAGGAACAAAAACCCCACAGCAGCAGCAGCACAGAGTGTGTGGAGAGGTTCTGGGAAATCCTGTGAGGTTTCCTCAGCACAGAGGCCAAAGCAGCAGCACTGCCCAGGGGAGTGCTGGAATCCCCAGCCCTGGGTGCCTTGCAAAGCTGTCTAGGTGGGGTGCTCAGGGGTGTGGTGTAGAAGTGGCCTGGTAGAGTGGACTGGATGATCTTAAAGGTCCTTTCCCCCCATGTGTGAGACTGTGACTTGATGTTTCATGTTGATTATTCACTGCAGGAACAACCTACACACCCTCCATGTTCTCTCTTTTCCCTGCTTTGTACATTCTCAGGAGCTGAAACTCTTTCAGCTGTGGGGTCACTTCTTGAAGCTTAAAAAACCCCAATGTAAACCCAAATGCTTTCTTTCTTTCTGCCCCAACAATCAGCAAGAAAAAGACCAGTTTTGAAACAAACTGAATTTTATTCTTTGCAAATGTTTGCAAGCAACAGAGGTTTTTTTCTGAAGAGCTGCCTCCAAAGGCAGCTGGAGGGAGAGTTAGAGCAGAGCCTGTGCCACCCCCTCGGCTGGTACAGAGCAGTCAGACAAAGGTGGAACACCCAGGAGAGGAGCCAAACAAACTGCAGTGCACACAGAAAAACAGCAGTGTTAGAAAACAAAGGGCAGAGGGTTGGAACGTGGGTGGGACCCAGTGTGCAAGGGCCCTACGTGGTTCTGCCTGGTCAAACTCAACTCGGCTGAACAAAAACCTGCAGTATTCCAGGCTCTGAATGTGTGACGTCCAGCACAGCACCCAGGCAGCCCCTCTTCTGTCCCCACCAGACACCTGCTCGTCCCTCCTCCCTCCATCAGACCCTTCCCCTTTGGCTTTCCTTCAAATTCACCTCTCAAATCCACACAATGCCCAGATTTGGCAGCAGTAAGTTTCCACAATCCCAACGCAGTCGCTTCCTCTCCAAGAAAAAAGGAGGAAAGAAGCACAGAAAACGTTCTGGAGCCCCCCCCCAATGCCCCCTGTGCCCTGGAGGTGCCACACGTGCCTCTCTCCCATGTTCCACGTGGTCAGGGGTGGCCTCCCCACGGTGGGACACCTGTGTGGCAACCAGGATCAGCTTCCTGGCAACCTGGAAAGCTCCAGGGGCTCTTGAGTCAGCAAACGTTACACAGAAGATGGAACAGCACCAGCAACAATTTAGCTGAGTGCTAAATTTACTCCTGGCTTACCACAGTTGATTAGATTAGCTTACATTTGACTATTTACACAGAATACCAAAAATAGGCTTAATTTGTGTTCAAACATTGCCAACAGAATGCCATTTGCAGTCGAGGAGATCAAAAAGACTCAGCCAAAAATCCCCAAGACCTCAAGAAGTTCAGGAGTTGAGAAAAATCGCTCTGAAGCCCTCACTTAACCCTGTCCTCAGTGATCAGTCAAATGGAATGGCAGCAGGAGGAGGTTTAAAGCCCCCCAAACCTGTCCTCAGTCGGGCGTGGGGGTGGCAAGGGGCAGAGCTGAGGTGTCCTTGAGGGGAAAAAGCAGCTGAGCTGCATGTGTGTGTGTCTGAGTGCAGGACCTGGCTGAGTGGGAGAGGAGGTTCCCCCAGTACAGCTCTCAGAGCCTCACACCAGCAATTATCATTTCAGCCTTTTGAAAGCTCATTATAGGAACATAATCAAAACACTGAATGTTTTCTTGACAAGAAGGAGGCCTCCTTCACCCCCTCTGCTCAGCACTCCACTCCCAGTATTGCTTTTCACAGTCCACTGGCACATCAAGTCACCACTGAACACGTCTGTGGAGCGAGCTGAAGTTGCCACAGGAGCACAGAGGTAGAAGGCTTCAAAGATCTAAACCTGAGTTACACAACCCTTGCTTCCTACACCCCTACGATGATAAACTGCCCCAAGAGCCTTTCTCCATCCAACATCTGTCCACATCTGGGTATTTTCTCACTTGACACTTCCATCAGCTGCTTGTGGTGCAGTGGAGTCTGACCTGGCTCCTCTCCGGGGCCACGGAACGAGCAAGCAGTGGCTGATGAGCTCTTCAGTCTTAATTGCTTTTGTGTCATTATATTGAGTGAGTTCTCACTGTGAAGGGTTAAAGAGTGAATCATAAAGCTTCAAAAGAAAAACAAGTGTGTATGTACAGGAACACACTGAAGAAATGGTCTGTTTCCATCACCAAAGTGCATTGGGAGGGGAAAACCCACCCCAGAAAGTGGCAAATCTGCCCCATTTTGGCACCTGATTGCTGTAGCACAGACAGCACTTCAGACAATTAAAAAAAAAATAAAGAGCACTGCCTTTTATTTCTGTTTTTATTTAGAAACCTTTGCTCTTTGTCACTTCAGGGTGATAAGGGGAGATTTTACTTCATGATATGCAAGTGTGAAAGAAAAAATATGTTTAGAGATGTTGCCTCCTCCTTGTTGAAATAAATACTACTGAAAAAATTGCCATTTCAGAGAGTTCTTCACAGAGCCCTGGACATGTGGGCTGATAAACTAAACTAGCTTCACAGGAACAATTTTGAGAAGTGAATCTAAGCACGTTGAGCAGTAAATGACAATGCAGTTTATGTTCTGGGACTGACCTGTCTGCTTTACAGCGTTTCAAATTTAAGACTTCTGAAGTCAAAGGGGTGAAATAGATCAGACAGCTTGAAGGGTTCTCGTGTGGTTCCTGTCCCAGGGCACCTCCTGCTCCTGCCACCACTCTTGTCTTGTCTCCTGCTCTTCAGCAAGTGTCTGAGAGACAGCAGGAGCCCAGCAGCTGGAGTAGTCCATGTGGTTACAAACAGGGAGCTCAGCAGAGCCACTCTGAAGCACGTTCCACTCCACAGCCAGTCACTGCCATCCACCATCATACACAGATTGCATAAGTTACACTGGCTTTATCTGCAATTCTGGTTCTCCCCCACCTTCTTCCACTGCAAGCTGACAGCAGGAAACATCTTCTGAAGTTCTGTGAGGGAGGAGAAAGTTCAGTCTCAAGCCTGCCCGGATAGATCTGACAGATGTGGTGCCTGAAGCCTCCTCCTCTCCTCACGGCCCAGCTCAGGAGTCACCCTCCAGGCCCACACAGGAGGGCCCGCTGCAGCCAGCCGCCTGTCTGCTGGGGATTCCGGGGGGTGCTTGGGGTTGTTTAACTTTCAGGAAGCATCAGAAGCAGGAGGGAGCATTTCAGATGGTGCTGGCTGCTCCCTGGAGCAGGAGGGGCTCACAGGCAGAGCAGGGGAGATCTGTCAGGGCCCGAGTCGTCCTCCGCCTCCGGGATGCGCGGCAGCAGCGCCGAGCGCGTCAGGCCCCAGAACTTTGGGGGGGACAGATCCTTCCTGGTGGCCGTGAACTTCCAGCCCATGTGGTTGCCACAGATCCTGCACTGGGCTATAGTCCAGGCGTACCTGGAACAGAACAAGGTGAGGCTCACAGGGCAGGAAAAGGCATTTTAACAACACCGGCACGCAGCGCGCTCCGCAGGGAAGAAGGGGTTGCTAGTCTCAGGCTAGATTTTCAAGGAATCTTCATGAGTCAGTGTCTAGCTCCTATTTAAAACTCTGCAGATCGTAAAGATAATAAAATTAAAATGTAAAAAAAATATAAATCAGCTTTTTCTACTTGAAGGCAACCAAAGGATTTTATTAGCACAACATTTCAACAGTACGGTGAAACGCTGCGTGCCTTAGAGAAGAGCCAGAAAATGGTTCTCAGGCAGGAGAGGAATGGAAATAAAAGTGAATTTTGCACTGCTCCTCCATCAACAGAACTGCACTTTGCAGAGCAACAGAGCTTTTCTGTAGCAGATTGAAAAAGCAGAACATGAATATTTCAAAACCCTCACAGAAGAGCTGAGAAAACAGGTAAGGGTGAGAAAAATTAACTCCAGGCATTATGAGCCACAAGTTTTCTGCAGGGAGTCTTAAAGCAAGGGTGTCCTGTGACAGATGGGGCACACACCCTCCACCCTGGGGAAAAATGTATTTAAGGAATCTTTTTTGTGTGAAGCTATAAAGAATATTTTACTGAAACTAAAAATTCCATTACAGGTTGACATTTGAGCTGTTTTCACAAGTTAAACATCCAAAGTTCTAAATGAGTGCCTGAAGCATGGTTGTCTAGGCCCCCAAAATTTAAGCTACCAGAACAGGGTGACATTTTGATACAAAACCTTTCATTATTAGACTTTTATATCCTGACAGTCACAGAGAGCAAGACTAATAATGAAATAAATAAACATCCCAAAGGTAATCACAAAGTTAGTGATTTTTAAATTCATCTCCCATTTCTTCTGGTTTTAAAGCTACAAAAAGTGTCTTAGCAGAGGAACTGCATTTGTGTGTTACACTTTCCACTTGACTTTATGATCAAGGCAAGCTGCATGGAAACAACTGTGATTTTAATTGTGGTTGATACAAAACTATACATGAAGAAACTCCCAGGCAATCAATATCCTGTTTAGAGCTCTCAGATGTTACATTTTGTTTTAAAATATTAAGATTTCCATATACTTAAAATAAATCTGAAAGCATTCTAACTGAATTTTTCATTTTATTCTCTATTTGGAAAAAGTCTGAACTTACTTTCCTGGTTTTCACATGAGCAAAATGATGGCCTGTGGGTCAACAATTACCTATTTACTATTCCTCTGTCACAGGAATACCCTGACAACCCAATTTCTGTCATTTATTGATAAAATTTAACTGGTGTTACCCAGGAAACCAGCTGTGCTCTGTTGATGGCCGTCCACTGAGATTCAAGTTGCAGGCTTTATATACAGTGAGGGTTTCATGGATGTAGCCATGAGGATTCACATAGGCTGCCATGGGTCCACACAAGGATAAACTACAACAGGAAAGGAATCATTTTGTCAGAGTTCAAGGAAGAAACAAAACCCCCAAGGCTCTCAAATAGGCCAACCAGGCTTAAAACTGTTTCCATAGTAAAAATAAACCCCTCTTCAGACTGCAGAAAAAAAGGATCTTGAATTATATTATTAAAAAGTGAAAGAAAATAGATAATAATTTTAAAATAACATTGGTGAACTTTTCTTAGAATCACAGAAATTTAAGTGTCCAGTGTTACAAACCCAACATGTTCCTCACTGACATAAATTATTACCTACTTATTAAGTCCCCACTTCAGGAAAAGCTGTTTATAAAGATATTATCCCAAGTAAGGACTAAAACATCCTTGTGTTCAGATGAACCTGGCCCAGCTGTTTAAGGGAGACAAGTTACTCAGAAGACTGCTGAAGGATGCTATGGAAACTACCTCATTTCAGGCAGTTATTCATCTTCCCCTCAAAAACCTAAAGTTCAGTATTAAAAAAACCCCAAAAACTAAACATGAGAGACCCATAATTTCTTCTACTTGTTGCTTTTTGCACAGCACCTTCCAATAAACCCAAGGAACATCAATATTGCTGCTTTTATATCAAATTTTAAGAGTAAGCAAAAATGTTCATTCATCACACTATCTTCCCACCATTCTTCTGTTCAAGTCCAGCATACCCCAGAGCAGGAATTGTGCCTCCTGGAATCCATTATTTGATTGGAAGATAAGGAGTGGCTTTTAATTACATCAGCTTCTTATCACATTGATAAATGGAAACTGAGGGGGTGTCTTGCTTTTTTGTCAAGACATCTTTGAACCTTTGAATTCTCATAGGTGGCAGACAGATACTAGTTATTCATGATTAAAATAAAGACAAGACTGCCAGAAGCAGCAATTATTTAGAAAATTTAAAGTCTTGTCCTTGTTGAGCATGGAAGATATTGTATAGGCCAAATACATAATGGGAACATACTGCCCAGTGCAGTGGTTAGGATTAAACCTCACATTTCTGAAATAAAAAGGTACCACTATGCTTCAGGACTCTGGGGAGACTTCCCTGTGGCCTTCCAGTACCTGAAGGGGCCTACAGGAAAGCTGGGGAGGGACTTTCTACAAGGGCTTGTAGCAGCAGGATCAGGGACAATGGGTTAAACTGGAAGAGGGGAGATTTAGATTAGAAATTGGGAAGAAGCTCTCGACTATGAGGGTGGTGAGGTGCTGGCCCAGGTTGCCCAGGGATGTTGTGGATGCTCCATGCCTGGAGGTGCTCAAAACCAGGTTGGATGAGGCTTGGAGCAATGTGCTCTAGAGGGAGGTGTCCCTGCCCATGGCAGGGGGTTGGAACTGGGGGATCTTTAAGGTCCCTCCCAACCCAACCCATTCCATGATTCTGTCACTCTATGAAATAAGCCATTTCCTTACAGGATGACCCCAGGGGAGCCCATCTACACCACCCAATTGGTGCATTGTCACCTGCTGTTGGAGCTTCTTGTGACATACAAGTTGAGATGAAGAGCTGAGAAGTAAGATCTGGCATCTCATGAACTTCATTCAGAAATTAGAGGACAAAAAATGCTATGTAACAAATGTATATTGCAGAACCCACTGCAGAGTGCATGATTCTTCAGTGGCAAGGTGCTGGTCGAGGGGGTACAGAAAAGAAATGGGCTCAAGTTGCCCCAGGGGAGGTTTCAATTGGGCATTAGGAGGAATTTCTTCCCTCCAGGAGTGGTGAGACATTGGCCCAGGCTGCCCAGGGAGGTGCTGGAGTCCCCATGCCTGGAGGGGTTCAAAAAACATGTAGACTTGGCACTTGGGGCCATGGTTTAGTGGTCATGGTAGTGCTGGGTGATGGTTGGACTTGATGATCTTAGAGGTCTTTTCCAACCTTAATGATTCTATGACCACATGACCTTTCACACTAACTTCTGTTACAACAGGCATGGTGATGCTGAGATTTACTAACTCCCTATAAAAAAAGCTCAAGTAACCTGTTTTAGACAATTCCCTTAACTATTCACTTAAATTTCACTGGAGCTGTGGAAAACACAGGGGCTGTAAGACACCACCCAGCTTAATCTGTTCTGCTGGGCCAGTGTTTCTGATCCAGAACCTCCAAAAGATTAAGAGCAATAAACTCACCTGAATATTTCATTCTTGGTAGTTATTTCTGTGTCTTGGCATTGCTTACAACAAAGTGATGTACACTTGAAAAGAAAAAGAGGGTCATTTCATTTTTTTCCAGGTGCTTGTCAGCACAGTGGCAAATAATAAAAAACATCTCTAACTTTCCCTCAGAACAGATTTTGTACTATTTTAACTGAGCAGCAATTGCTTCTGTTTTCTCTTTCTATAAAAGGATTTTTTCTGTATGTATTTTACTTATTTATGGCACACATCCATTGTTATCTAGAAGACAAAACAATTTTTATATTCTTCCCTCCCACAGAAAAATAAGAACCACACACAGGACAGGATCTGGCTACACAAAGATAACAAATGAGTCAACCTTCTAAGGTCTCTCAAAGCTAATTTAGAAAAAAAACCCTTTGCTCCTCTAAAGTGCAACACATAAAAGGTAGATGAGTACAAATGCAATCATTAAGTCCTTCTAAGATTTCAGAGTCCTGTAGAGCAATGGTTTTAATTTCCTCACAAAAAAAATATGTGAGATGTATTGATCTTTCTTATAAAGATTGTAACAGATTAATCTTCTACAGCTCCTAGAAAGTAGAACAGAACGATTCATCACTGACACTGCCCAGAAAATAAGCATTTAAATCAGCTTAGTACAACACTACCATTCATTTTCAGGAGGTGCATTATTTCTAACTCTTCTTAAGGGTAATGCATGTGAAATTACCCCCCCCAAAAAAATGATAACACTATTTTGGAACAAAATGCTGCACCTTGGATCTTACCTTGGACCTTCCTCACCCTGTGTGAGCACATATCCTGTTAAAACCTGGAGTCAACAGGTCCTCCTGTGCTCTGAGGACTCCTGGGATACTACAGAGGCTTACTTCAGTCTCTGCTCTCTCCTTTCCTCCATTCTGGGCTGCACTTCAACCTTCTCCAGCTCCTCCCTCACAGGAGACACTGGCATCAGGTCTTACACTCAGTTCCACTACTCTAAATTACATTCTGAACAAAGAACCATGTTAATTCTGCCCTCAAGTAAACCAAAATGTAGCTTATGTTGCCAGAGGAGCCCTTCTCTAGAACCATGGCTTAAAAATAGTAGGTTTGACCACAATAAATGCTCCTAAACAACTATGAGATAACCATAATGCACTTATCATTCTCACCCTAGTATGGAACAGTTAAACACATTTCTAGAATAAAATGTCACACGTTGGTGAAGAAAACACCTTTTTGGTGTAGGGCAAAAATCAACTCCACCTTCTATTTTATGAGGGTAACTTAAATCCTCTGGTCTCTTCAGGATTTTTAGAAAATATACAATGTACCAACCATGAACAGTTCTTAATGGTACCTGAATATCAGAATATATTCAGAGTTTCTGACTCAGGAAAGACAAATGAAGCTTAACCTGATTACAGAGCCTCACACAAAAAACCTGCCCATTTCCTCTCACAATTCAGAAGAGATGTTTTCAGTCTCCTTTTCTCTGTGTATTCCCTTTTAGATTTTTGGTGCATGAATTCTTTGAAAAGCAACACTATTAAAATGATACTCTGGTTCTCCTTTCCCTAGAAAAGAGAATGCTTTGGTACCCCCAGCAAGCTTCCAAGCAGCACGGCGAGGATCAATCAGGAGGTACACAGCAATTCTTTGTGATATTCATGTATTAATTTGCCTCTCCACTCAAGAATCAAATAATAAATATTCCATCTAGCACTATCAAATACATAAACGAGTGCAGAGTTCCAACTTGAGTTTACAGCAGTGGCTCTTCACAGCATTGTCTCTTTGGAAAGAGAACAGCAATTTGAGCTGCTGTTAGGAGACCTTGCTGCAAATGCTGTTCCTAAATCAGACAGATTCAGCATGAGGCTGACTGATATTTAGCTGCATTATCAGTTATAATATTACTTACAGTAGAGATTATTATTAAGGAAATACATATTATTATTATAAAGAAAGGTCCTGTATAAAATAAACCTTTCATGTCCTACGTTTAGAGCATAGAGTGGAGGGATGGGAAGACAAGTTTTTGCCCATCTAAAGAAGGTATAGCCTCTAACAAGCCACTACACATCTTCTGCAAAACTCCTTTCAGTCCAATACTTAGACTTAATACTACAAAGATTTCTCTTTTGTTCCTAAATCCACAAATTTTCATGGCACAGTGCTCCTGGACTGTGTTGTACTACACTGTCAATACTGGGTTATGCTGTTCATGAGACGACTGAACAGCACTGAACTTCTAGCACCATCTCTTGGCTAAAAGAGTGCTGTGAAGTGCTGAAATAAGGATTTCTAACAAAGGCAAATATTATTATATGCTTCTTGCTTGCTGCCAAACATAAAGGTTTGTATTGAGAGAGAACAATTTCTTTCTGGAGCACTTTTAAAGGCGAAGGAAGAAATAAACCAACACCTAAACTCACTCTCGGGAAGTATTACATGGAAATTCCATCTATTTTTGTTACAGCCTGTAATAATCATTCCTGGTTTTTTTTTGGTGGGTGTGAAAGACGTGAGGCTGAGTGAGGAGGCACCACTCACCTTGTTCATGATGTCCAGCTCACAGCGCAGCCTCTGGACAGCACTGCCTATCTCCAGCAGCTGGATGCGCAGCGCGTCGTCGATGGGCAGGCAGGCGGCAACGCGGTACGAGAAGTCTGCAAGGGAGGAAGAACCAGGCCTGGTAGAATTTTAGAGAGAAATAAACCCTGCTATTTCTACTAATAACAAATGAAACCTACTGCTCCTACTCAGTTACAGATAGTGTGGAAACTTTGGTTTAGAACAGACTTTTAGAGGTTAGCCCAGGGTGTCTTTCTGCCCTAAGGCTGGATCGTGGACTTGGAAAACCTCTTCTCAGGTATCTGCACTTGAAAACCTACTGCTTCCACTCAGTTACAGATAGAGTGTGGAAACTTTGGTTTAGAATAGACTTTTAGAGGTTAGCCCAGGGCGTCTTTCTGCCCTGAGGCTGGATCGTGGACATGGAAAAACCTCTTCTCAGGTATCTGCACTTGAGGATCACCAGTGATGGAGACTGAACAGGTCTGGTGATGCACTCCAAAAGCACAACAGACCCCTGGAGAACACTGATACAGGCTCCCACTTCAACAGGGAATTAGAGTTTTCCAACCTCTAAAGGTTGTCTCTAAAGACAACCCATGGTTGTCTTTATGCTTGCACTCCTTTTTGCAGAAAAACAGGCTTTTGTGAAAGAAAAAGTAAAGAATAAAACCATACAGCTCCTTCAGAAATGACAACAAAGTTGTAGGGCTCATATTAGTACTAAGAAAGCATTCTTTATTGTTCTGTTGTGAGAAGGAAAATTCATACTCTGTATACACTTCCTTCTGGAGGTTTAGGAGGTTTTCTTTCCCCATTCGAATGCAGACCAAAATTAGATGCAAAAATATTCAGTCAAGAATATTTGGGTCTTTTTTTTTTCCTTAAAAAAAAGTTTTAATATGACAGTAAATTCTCAGGTATCAACTTCAGTCAAGTAATAAAAGATATAAACACAAAAGGGAGTGGTCTTTACTGCAGCCATATTTTAATTTAGATAACAAAAACCTTACTAAGCTGGAACTCATCCCACAGCCTGTAAAAGAATTTAAATGCTGAAAATTCAAGTCAGCAAAATATCAGTGTGCTGTGAATCATGAGAAAAGAAGTGCCAAAAAAATACTGCATTTTTTGGTGTTTGTTTTCAGATCATTTCATATGCTTTCCATGCTTGGTCCTCCAAGCAGCACTCTGGGCAAAGCAGATGGGAGGTGCTTTCAACCTCTCCTTCAGGCCAATCAGAAATGAAAGTTCCATGTAGATCAACACTGTTAAGCCCAGACTTGCATTTGGGGCTTAACTGATGTTAATTGAAGGCTGCAGTTTCAATTTCCCCCTTATCAGGCACTTGAAAGTCTACACAGGAAAGAATGTTTGTGCCCTTAGAAAGGCTTCAATGGAAATTTTCATCCTACCAGAGACTGCAGAGAGGAGACCTGGCCACTGGGGCATGATCCCCATGTCAGCTGAGGCACAAAAATCCAGTATTAACTTTTTTTGTGATGGGGTTTATAAGCTCAACAACATCATACCTATTGGGTTTGTTGGAAGAGATTCATCTTTAAGGTTTTCATCCCATTCATGTAGCTGCCTCTTGACTCTTTCCATCAAGGTTTCCTTTTGTTAGAAGAAAAGCCTAATTTAAATACATAGGTATTGCTGTTTTCTTAGGAAAAAAACAAAACAAAAACAAAAAGGAAGCAAAATGTAGAGTAAGCTATTTTCCCTAAGTGGACATTAGCTTTTAAGACTTAGAATAATTACAGATTAGCTTTGTATCTACATATTATAGAGTAAAGGCAAGACAGGATGGGAAATGAGCCAAAATGAACTGATGGCCCATGGTGGTTATAACCTTCACTGAGATAAGGAGAAAACTGTTAAAATACTACAACTGTGCACATGAGATGAGGGCTTGACTCCTCTCTGCTTCTGCCTCTCTTTACCAAGTACTTTATGTACTAATATACATATGTACTGAAAAAACAGGTACTTTTAAAGAGTAAACCAACTCCCACAGGAAGACCTAAGACACTCCCACACTGTGGTGTTTAGGACACTCTTCTGGAGCATGTGGGACAGAGGATTGAGATTTTTCTCCAAGACAACACAGCAGGAGCCTGAATCTGTTTGTCATCCACCCCAGGATGTGCTCCAGCACAAGGGGAAGCCCTTCCTGCTCTTTCCACAGTAAACTGCAACCTATACACTTCTTTCAAATATAACATACAAGGCAACAAAATTAAAGCTTTTACATTCTCCAACCATTAGCTATTAAAGCATACAAAACTCTGTGTGGAGTATGTGGTAATACAGAGGGTGAACTTACAGCATCATACAGAGAGTAGAGCCAGGGAGGCCAAGATGTCAAACTTGCACAGTGGAACTTCCTCTAAAACCAAAACCACAAATATTTTATTCTTTAACATTAGCAGATTTTAGGGACAGGTCTTGATCAAACAAATAAAGCAGAGGAGAGATACCCAAAGGCACAACAAATTATCACCAGCAGGACCAGTACTTCAGAAACACATTTCCTGTTAACAAATAACTGCAGGTACAGAAATTAGTCCTTGAAGGGATGCAGGTTTTAAAGCAAAATTAGCAAATGGGAGTTGTGACTCCAAACAACCAAGACATCACAGGTCTCCTGTTTCATCACTGGAATTTGGGAGTCACCTCTAAACCACCTCTGCTCTTTAAAAACCTCTTCTATCCCAATCAGCCACAGAAGAACAGTCACAAAAGCCTCCTTACTGTCAAACCCAAACTATTAATACAAGTACAAAGCAAGGGCACTGGCCACACTAATTACCAATACTTTTATTGTCAAAGCCATGTCAGTAAAAGATGTTTCTTTGACCTGCCTACAAATTAAATCCTATAAACTTAAGTGTTTTTTTCTACAAACCCTTCATCACCTACAAGCTTTCCCTGTCAGCACTCTGAGGTGTTTATGTAAAAACTGTGATATTAGATGAATTATTATGCAATGATATTAACCCCATAATACCAATTAAACCCAAAAGAAATTAAATTAGGCAATTCATTAGGAAATGAATTAAATTAGGCAATTAAACCCAAAGAAAAGTCATAATACCAAAGGTGTATTTCCCCACAGCACTGACAAAAGCAGGAGGATGGCATCTAGCACCCCAGCCGTGCACCCTCCTCAGAAGGTGAACAGATGGAATTGGAGGTAGATTTTCCAAACAAAACCCTAAAAAAACAAGACCCCACCACCAGCCAGGCAGGTTCTGACCTTTTGGTACTTAAAACAAGACCCCAGCAACACCCAGGCAGGTTCTGACCTTTTGGTACTTGTGCCACCACTGGCGTATGGCGCGGTCCTGCCAGGCCCTGGGCTTGGAGGAGGGCACCAGGTGGCACCTGCTGAGGGACTGCAGCTGCACTGCTGCCATGGTGGGAGGCAGCACTCGCTCAGGAAGGATTTGTACTTTAGCCTGCTGGATTCTAGGGGAAGAAAAAAGAGACAGGCACACACAGACAAGAGTTTAAAAAAAGCGTATTTTTCTGTTGGTAAACCCCCGGCCCTGTGTGACAGATGCAACCACTGCAGAGCTACAGAATTTAAGCAGAAATCCATTTTGTTAGAATTTTAAAGCTGTGCTAATGTAAATCAAATGACCCCAGGGAGCACAGAGCCTATCTGTAGCAAAGCAAACACACACTGTTCTAGACAGAGATTATCTCATGCCCGTGGCTAAATTATTAAAGCCACTGTGCTGACTGGACTTTGGGCCACATAAACTGCAGACAGACACAACCTCTGCTTTTCCTTTTATAAACCACAATTAGCTGTCTTCTAAATACTCTTATACTGACATACAGAACTTAAAAAAATCCCTGCTTTAACATTTCAGCAAATGCTGTTTCTGCCCTGCCTCTCCCAGCACCTTTTCCATGGCATACTTTGTATTTTACATGGCTATTTTTGTGTTTTAGAGCACTAGGTATCTGTGGGGGACAGAATTAAAGGCAGACTGGCAGTGGCAACACAGCACAATATTCTGCCATCTCAGCACTACACCTTTTAGGTTTTTGTCTCCTCAAATTACTTTTGGTATGAACTAAGTCAGCTCTTACACAGCAAACCCTCAGAATGGAAGTTTAGCTGAAGTGCAGTTTGCTACCTTCAAACCACAAAAGCTTCTGTGCTTAGCTAGAGCTCAAAATGAGCAGAAATAGGATAAGGATGCTGATCATCTTTTGATATCCTAGCATCAATCAGGGCACCTATTCCACAAAGAGCTTGGTGGCTACTAAGACTACTGTCCAGCAGGAAGGACTTTACATTGCGAAAGCCTTATGCATCAGAAATTCTAAAATATTGAGGTGCATGTCATGATAAATTTCCATTTCTACTTAAAAGGCCAACACTGAACTCTGTTAACTTACTATAAATGATAAAATAATGTTTTGCCCTAAGGAACCAGGAACATCAAGAACTATGGAAATTTTCCTCTTGCTAAGAACATCTTTCCCTCTTCATCAAGAAAGATTTTAGGCTGGAATGCTTTGTTTCTCTTGAAAGTTGCACTGAATATGTTAAAAACAGGAACATGATCTTAATGAAAATGTTTTATTTGTACAGAGGGAACATTTAATTCTTCTTCTGCCCCTGTGATGGACAGAGAGAAGTGGCAGCAAACTGCCAGGCCAGCAGGCTCATTCACAGAAAGAGTCAGCACACTGGCACAGGGCTCTGGGGAGCCCCTCATGACCTGCAGAGATCAGTTCCTCAGGATGGACTGAAGAACACACACTCATGTCTCCAAAGTGCACTGACAAGACCAGGAGGTTCAAGTTCACTACCACTCCAAAACATGCAGTATTTGAAAGCAGAGTAACTCACAAGTTGTGCCAGGGGAGGTTCAGGTTGGATATTGGGGAAAAAATTACTGCCCAAAAGCATTGTCAAGGCTTGGCCCAGGCTGCCCAGGGCAGTGGTGGAGTCCCCACCCCTGGAGGGGTTTCCAAGCCGTGGAGATGTGGTGTGAGGGACAGGGGGCAGTGGGGACCTGGCAGTGAGGAGTTAACAGTTGGACTTGATGATCTTAAAGGCCTCTTCCAACCAAAACAATTCTATGACTCTATACAGTTCAAATCATTCCAACAAATCCAGAGCTTGCCATGATGAAAAAAAAGAAACACCAAACTTCCTTTATTTCATAGCTTTAAAGATTTGTATTTATAAATGAAACTTGTGAACGTGGTGTGTAACAGTGACCCCTGCTAGTCAGCAGACAGAAAATCATCTCAATAAAATCCTTTAACAGCACAAGAAAAAAAAAATCACTGTACATCTGAACTGCTTCTGGACACTGTATTCTCAGTAACAACACTGCTGCTACTGCAGTCACCCAAGTACTGCCACCTTGTGTTCCAGAAGTGGCTCTTCTAAGCTGGGAAATTTGGAATCTATTATCTGTAACCAAATGTCAGGTAGTGAGAAGGAGCAAGCAGCACATGTATCCTTCATTCCTTCAGCTGCAGGTTATACAAGCTTACCAAAGCACTGAGCTCAGACTGCTCCCAGGCCTCTTTCTAAAGCAACAGCAGAACACAGATGATCAGCTCTGGATTTGGAGTAAGATGTTCTAGGCCTTGCAGAAAAGATGACAAACCCCTCTAGCAACTGTGCCAAGAACCATCAGGTGCTTGCAGGATCAGTACCTGGAGCCTGTACCTCTGACAGAGATGCTGACAGAGGCTCCTGATGCAAAGCATGGTGCAGAGCATGACACCCAGAGGAACTCCAAAATGACAGAAGACTTGGCATACTCTGAACTAAAATTAAGGGTCTGCCAAGCCCTAGCAGGAGGAGTAGCACATTTCTGACAGTGAAGCATCAGTGGGTGGCCAGAGAGGCAGAGGGAAGACTTGCAGCAAGTAAGGATGTCCTGAACTGTAACAATGGCTAAAATACACAGGTTTTAGTATTTGAGAGACTGGAAATGATGGGCTGCTTGTGGTTAGCAACCAGCAAGAACCTATTTTCACATTCAACTATTTATCCACAAATCTCAGTGTGCTTTTGTTTTAAAAAGGAAAAAATGAACAAGAAAAACAACTTGTTTCTTCATCACTACCACCCAGCTCCAGTCCTCTGCTTCATGGGAAGACTCTAATGAAAGCCACCACCCCTCTGGGCATGGTTACTGTCCTCTCCATATCTGAATCATGCAGCTGAGACCTTCTGCAGGCTGCTGAAGGCTTAGTAGCTAAAGATCACTCAAGTACAAAGCCAGAGAAGCACACTGTTATTAGCTGTAGTGTCAGACCCTTGCCTGCAGCCTTTCAGAGCTCCAACTGCATGTGAAGTGATGAAGTGGAACCTGTCCAGTGCAAATCATCTCTAGAAAGGTTTCCTTTCAGAAAATTAAAGTTACAGTTTTTCAGAGGAATGGAATTCTGGTCACTATCAGGGAGACTTTCCACAAGCCACCAGAAGGCACATGCTTGATACTCTATCCTCTCATTTCATGCCTGATTTGAAACAGGGATGGGAAACATTTTGAAATGAAGCTTTAGAACTTACATTCCATGCAAATTAAACTCTTTTTCCTGACTTAATTTTCAGAAACCAAGTCATCCTCTCAGATGCTTTCTCACACGTATCAAATCGAGTTACAGGTAAATAATCTTTAGTGAATTTTATAGCAAAGTTTGTAACAATTAAAACATGAGTTTTAGCACAGGAAATGTCAGAAGTCCTTAATAACCTACTGATTAAGCATTCCATTAACATCTATAGTAATTAGTCAGTTCTGTGACTAAAAGGGCAGATGCACCTGCAGTAAAATGTAAATGTTTAGGAGAAACAAGATTTGCAGTACATAGAATTAAAGACACAATTTTCTTACCCATCTGACTGGGTTCTTATTTCAAGCACCTTGAACCTCTGTCTTCCTATTGCTTTCACTTTGACTGTTTCAATTCCATATTCCTGCTCTTCTCTGTAGGCATATATTTCTGCTGTTGTTCCAAAATGTGCTTTCCTCTCACGTAGGTTACTAAAAGTAACAGAATTAAGAAGGTTACTGACCCTCCAAGCAGCACTGTTCATTCACAATTCACCAGCTACCCTGCACTGACTCTACACCATGAGTCTTATGAAATAAGTAAATTTGGGTAAAATATCTTCAACCACTGCAACGACTATTTTTCCATTTTAAAAGCAGCTCCTCGTGTTTTGTTTGGTTGGGGGTTTTTCCCAGTTGACTTGGCTTTATTTTAGGGTTTAGAGGTGACATTCTGGGAGCACAGGAAGCAGCAATGTATGTACATTTGAAATTCTAAAGAATCTGGGTGCTCACAGAAGCTGTATTTGAAATGCAGATACTGAGAAGAACCCACATTCTTCAGAGTGACTTTAGAAAAAGAACTATTCCCACCTCCTACAGAATTAAACCATAGTTAATTGGAAGGGGAAGAGGAAGGAACATTCCAAACTTCTTTTGGCACAGATTAGCCTTTATCTTTCCTGCTCTTCTATCACCTCCTGTCTGTCAACTCTACTGTGAAACATTTGTCTGTGCTTGTTAATTCACCCTAAAACAGCAAATACACCTTTACAACAACACAGGTCTCAAAACAAGAATCTGATTTCTACATTTCTGGTCAAGACTTATTCTTTAAGCAAGATGGAGCAGTGTATTCTACCAGTTAACTGATAGCAAGAGAATGCTCAAATACAGAAAACAGATCAACACTTCCTGCTCCTCTACACAAAAGTGTGATCCTGCCAAGCAGGACACAAAAACCTTCTCATTGTGCACTGGAAGCCCATTTTCCCCAAATCATTTCAGACCACAACTTCTGTCATTCACCACAGAACTGATGCAACCATCTGCTTTTGATTCAGTCAAAGAAATTGTGCTTAAAAACAACCACATGCTGCACAGCACCAGCAAAGCCCCTCGTGTATTTTACCTGTAGGCAAGAACAGCAAACGTTCTGTCTTTCTGAATTAAATTCCGCACCATGCTAACCTCTTGGGGGTGAAAGAGCTGGAGAGGTAAGGTCTGTCCAGGAATCAACATCACCATCACGTGGGGCAACACTGGGATCACCTGACAGCTGTCATCATCGTGGACTGTCCTTCCGTGGAACTCCTCCATGTCAGAGCCCAAATACTGCAGAGAGGCAGGAAGGAAACGGCAGCAGGGTAAGAGGGTTTGGTGATTTAAAAGAAAACCAGCTCTCTCACTGAAAGGCATTGCAATGGAATGACACAAAATCCAGACCTCTCCAACTCATGCTTGAGGGGTGACATGTAAAGGACGTACCGCGTGAGATGTTGGCAAACTGGTATCAAAATTAATGATGTTTGGCTTTTCAGCATCTTTACTGTCTTGATCTTCAACTTCCATCTCATTGTCGTCCTCTTCCTCACTCTCTGCTAAGAAGCAAACACAGAATATTGTGTAGAAATCCATCAGGAAAGACTAAGATACTGAGAAAAATCAGTCACAGAAACACATTCAGTATTCCCAGGCTACAGCCTTCCACAGGGAAGAAACTTTTATACTTGTAAACTTGGGAAAAAATAACTTTCCTGCTGTTACAGCCAAATCATCGTTAGACAGAAAGGATCCAAAGCTGAAAATTTATTTTTGAAGGGGTAAAGAACAACTTTTCTTGGAAGAAATTAATAACAAAGCCTGTCAGTTCAGATTTCCACTTCCTTACTTCAATTCTAAACGTCTCCTGCTCATACACCAGGATGCCAAGTAACCCAATTTCTTGTGGGATGTTTGAAAAGGTACAAACCTGAATTATACAACTGCACTCATAAATCACAAGAGCTAAAAGGAATCTGAAACTCTACGTGCATGTAAAGACCCCTGCTGGTACTAATTTCACTGCTGTCAGCATGCCCTGTGTGTACCCAAGACACAAACCCCAGCACCTGCACAGCCTCAGCAGAGGCACCTGCTAAGGAAGCAGATGATGTGACTGTGCAAAGGGTTTCAGGGACAAAACAGTATTTAAAAATTACTTTCTTCCCATTTCTCAGTCCCTGCTATCCATTCTAAAATTACTTTCAGGCAAGAGGACAGTCAAATTATCAGGATGCTTTATTTTGGAAACATAAATA